GGTTCAGTCGTTTAGTAGTCTATGACGTTCAAATATACAAACAAACACACATTCATTTTTATATATCTAGATACATTTTCCAAATCTACCGTTACTTTAGCAATAATATAACATACAACAACAATTAATAAAACCAACCAACAACAACAATTAATAAAACCAACCAAACCAACCAATAAGCGTATATTCTTATTATCTTTTAACAGAATTATTGAAGATTTGTATCCCGAATAGTGATGCCAATCGGGACTGATTCGGGATTTTTAAATCCAGAAAAATATAAAAAATTCAAAAAATCTTAATAATTTACCGACAAAAATAACATTTTCTATTTCCTATTGCAATATGAATACACTTAGTAGGTGTTTACTTTCCAATAAGCATTTTGTGAAAATAAAAACAAATTATTTCTAAGTACTTAGTATAAAAATCTTTCCATCCCAGGTACTGAATAGTAGAATAAAGCCTACTTCTGAACAAAAGTTTCTTATATCTTATAAATATAAAATAATACCCATGATATACAAATTTACAATGGTTTCCAAATTTACAATTTGATGAAACCTAATATTTAGATAGTATGTGTACTGAAGATCCATACGAGGCTACATAGAGCACCTGTACTGCACCTATGTACTCATGAGACCATCCGTCTTGAGCTGAATATCGGATATATGGTTTTTAATGGTCAGTAGGAAAATACTACAGAACTGGTTTCAATTAATTATAGCCATAGTAATTCCAGCTTTTGCCAAGGTACTAGCAATATTATATTTAGTTATATCCCTTGTTCTCTAACCTAAATAAACTAAATCACATTTTACTCTCATAACTGGTGTAGGGGGTTATATGGTCGGCCTCGCCCGCCTATAATTTCTTACCTGTTATGTTTATATATCCGATAGTATTTATGCCTATTTATTGCCCTTTTTATTTTTGATATTTCAGCTTATAAGTTAGTAGAGTCATCTTAAGTCCAAAAACTTTTAAAATTGTCTTCTTTAATACTTTATAATGTATAAAATAGCGAAAAACACTTAAAAATTCGGGATTTTAAAATCCCGAAATTCCCCGCGATTTTGTTTTTTAAAATCCCGGTTTTCGGTACTTTCAAATCCCGGGATTTTCGGGAATCTGGAATTCCCGTTTGGCATCCCAAATCCCGAAAATATCTGGGGTCTTCAACGAATGTATATCAAGACATGGCGTAATCGACTCTATCTGTAAGGATCCGAAAGGGTCGGAAATTTATATTGTGGAAATTACAAACGAAATGACAAATATATACATATGAGCAATTATGAAAGTTTTTTAATTTTAGAGTTAAAAAAATCAAAAAAATTTTTTGATGGCACATTTAAAATATTTTGTGTAAATATAAACAGACCCTAATACGTGATGAATCCGTTCGCGTTAATCATTTTCATCGAGGGGCGCAAAAGTTATAGCGGTTTTCACTTAAATATTTAAAAAAATTCTTAAAAATAGTATTTATATATGCAATATTTGAAAAAAAAAATTGCACATAATTGTTAAAAATAATTAAAATTTAGCGCATTAAATACATGCCATAAGATTTATTTTAAAAAACACAGTAAGAAATTTCATTTCAGTAATTTTTTAACTTGTTGCTTATAGTTTTTGAAAAATCGCGAATTAGTAAAATTTAAGAAAAAACTGTTAATATCTGAATTCTACGAGCTTGATTTATAAGGGAATGCAATTAAAAAATTATAGTTTGAAAAAATTAAATATTTATAGAGTGATGCTTTTTGATGCTAGGTACATTTTTTTTGGCCCACAAAAACTACAATTATTTAACTTTTTTGATGCGCCCCAGGTTTACATTAAAGTATTAAGAAAACTTGCAAATGGTGATAATTTTGACGAATTTTGAGCATCATCCATGATGTGCCTTGGCAAAATGTGTTTAGATAAAAGTGACGTCTTTGTAGCTTACATGGATATTTTAAATACATTTATGATACCAAACCATTGTGTTTGTCATTACCTTCATGTCTCTTCATGAAATGTTTGTATAAGTCGATGTTTGCTATATAAAACCGCAAAAATAAAAAAATGAAATTTTGCAAAATTTTTAAAAAGTTCATAAAATTTTTGCATTCGAATATCCTCCGATTTTATATTTCAAAATTGTACCTAAAATATATATAAATTTAATGTTTTTATTCGATATAAGTTAATTGTTTTTTTAGAGGAACAAAGTTTATACCATATATATACTATATATAAATTATTAAAAAGTATTACCTTTCCAACGATGTGTAATATCTCATTTATTCATCCATTGAGAAGGATTAAGGATTAAAAGTCATAAATTATTTAAAAGAAATTTCTCATAAAAATACAAATTTCATTGCACAAAAAACATCTAACACAATGCACTTCATGAGTAGAGGTCCAAAAAAGATAAATTCTGAAAATCCTTTGAGTTCGCTTTTACGTCAAATATTTAATCAATGGACATTCTACCTCTATTCTAAAACATTGTAATTTTTAATTTTATTAAGAGTTTCATTGAATATTCTAAACACATCGATTTACTTTCAAATTATAAATAGAATAATGATAAAATATGTGAAAATCAGTACAAAAATCTTGTTTTAAAAAATCGTCAAATTTAGTGTTAAAATCGTCTAATCGTCAACAGGTCATTTTTGACACTGAAAATCGTCAAAATGACGATAAATCGTCAAATCTGGCAACAGTGCTTGGAACTTTATGAAATGACGGCTTTAATAACATGTTTATTATGGGAAGTTTTGCGAAAGTCCATAATTATTGAGATCTTGATTTTGGATAGAAAAAGGCACAATATAAAATTTTTTCACTAGTTTTCTTGCTTTTCTTGCTTGTTTTGTTGTTGAGAAATTCATATTACGTGTCTATAAGTGAGAATAACACAATGACCGCAATTGCATGTTTGGCCACCGTTGATGTACATATATCATAGTTAGGCCTTTAGTTTATCATTCTTGCCTATGTACTACATTTTTTTTGACTTTGCATTTATGTAAATATAATATTTAGCGCGTTTCGAACAGAGTAAGAAGAGAGTTCAAATTAATTTCTCTCTCGAGAGATATTAATTCAAGTGAAATAACCCAGCGGTAAATGAAACAAAGTACTTAGATAATATTCGATGATATCAGTATGACGTTCTAAGCGAGCAATCTAAGTACTTAGAGTGCAATATATGCGTAATCCAACATATCATGCACTTTAATTATAACATAGATGACGATTTAAGCAGAGAGTTAGCTGCCTTTTTCATGTTGTTTTTTGTTTTTATTTCTTTAAAAAAAAACTTAACTAAAGTACCGTTTTATTTTTCTTTTGTATACTACATACATGAAAAGAAGAATATTTTTGTTTCAGTTTAAAGTTGATCTTTTGTAAGTGACGTTGTGTTTTGTTAAAAAAGTTATTTTATTGTAAAAATTTAAAATAATTGTGGTGATCTAAATGGCAGAAACGGACTTAAAAATTGGGGTAAATGTACTTCATATATTCTAGTTTTAATACTGACAATTTCCTCTTGATTATTTACAGGATCTCTAAGGAAGATTACCGAAAGTTTCAAAAGAAAATTAAGATTCATTTCATTTATCTTATCTTTTATTGTTTAATTATATTTTTATTGAATTAACTATAATACATGTTTATTATTTGATGATCATTTTTAAATAAACTTGCATAATTTTAAAATAAATATAAAAAATATATATTTTTTCTATAACATAATCGGAAGACATGGTACTTTAACTTACAAATGCAAATAGGATTGTAATCTACATACATTACATTCTTATTTGCAAGCGTTTATAGGCGTCTCATTAACTTCGCTTAGAACTCCACACATAATGTAAGTGAAATATTAATTTGTCTTAATGATATTGTGGCTTACATTATAAGCGAGAGCACATCGATGAGGCAGCCTAGGACACTTTTATGTTAATTCTAAGTGGAAGAATAAGTTAAAGCATCACCACTGACTGCCACGAAATATCACTTAGATAAGCGAGTACATAATGTGTATTTTTACCGCTGGGAAGTTGTTAACTTTGTCAATATTTCTTTTTTCTCCTCAGTTAAATAATACATTTCTGAAGAAATATTTAACTTTAAAGAGCGGAAAATTAATTTATCTCACGAATACAAATGAGTATTTCGTGACTTTTAAGCGACATGGCAAACATCAAATTTGTTGACGCACATCAATTTGTTGCACACCCAAATGCACATTTTTATCATAAAATTGTTGTTTTTACCACCGCCATAAAACCGCTTTTTGGACACACATTTTTTGTATGTGAATTTGATTAAAATTCTATTCATTTTGATATCTCTTGTGAGAGAAATTAAAATAACAAAATGCATAAATCTCGCTCATTAAGTGAACACAAAAAATGAAGAGTTGAATTAAAAAATTGTTGTGGTGAGTTTTAAAATAAATCTCATGAAAATGAGTTGTAAACGAGTAAAAATAAATAAAATAGTATTCACGAGTGCAAAAGTTACCTACTCTGGTTTTGAATGGATGGTAGGCCCTTTTTGGTATAAAATAGTTGACAACGGTAAATTGGACTTACCGTTTAGAAGTTACAGATTTGTTTCCCTCTATTTTTGTTACAATAAAATTTGTTGAAATGTTGAATTTTGTACCTTCATTGTATTACATATTTTATTATGGACCTTTTTTATTTCGTTTATTTTATTCTTGTATATTTTAAAAAACAAAAATGTATTGATTTTTTAATGAAAATGTACTTGCAAAATTCAATTCATGTCTATTTCATGGTATTCGTTATCGAACAAAGTTTTCTTATCATTTACTATAAAATATGAATTATTATTTGTTTTACAATACCTTGAGTTTTCCATCTTTTGGCTTATGGTTTAAATTTTAATGATTAGATAATTCGTCGTTTAATTTATACATTCTTCATTGGTTGATTACACGTTTTGATATAATTTTCATTTATAAGTACAGAAGTTATTTCCAAAAGTAGTTCAGTTTAAATTAGAATGGCTTTCAGTTTAAAATTATTTGTAGGAATTTTAGGATTTGTATCTTGTGCATGTGCTGTGCCTAGCGGCCGTGTTGTAGGTGGCGCAGATGCTGAGATTGGCCAATTTCCTCATCAAGTCTCATTACAGCGTTCAGATGGATCCCATACTTGCGGTGGATCTATTCTCAATGAACGTTATATTTTAACTGCTGCCCATTGTGTGGTAGTTGGAAATGGTGTGGAACCGTAAGTTTTTTAAATCGCCAACAATTCTAAATATTAATTATTTTAAAATTGAAATTGTTTATAGTTATCCTCCTCAATACTTTCAAGTACGAGTCGGAAGTGTCCAACGTACCATAGGTGGGAAGTTAGTGCAGTTAAAACGTATAATTGTTAACAAATCATATGGAAACTTTTTGAATGATGTTGCTTTATTGGAATTGGAAGAACCATTACTTTGGACAGAAAATATTAAACCAATAGAAATGGCTAACGCGGAAGTACCATCTGGTAAAGATGTTATTGTATCTGGTTGGGGACGTCTATATACAAACGGTCCAATTCCTCATCGCATGCAATGGAATACATTGAAATCATTAACAACTGAAGAATGTCAGAATGCTATACAATGGGGATACGACAGTTTAATATGTTTGGCTCACGAACAAAACAACGGTGTATGTAATGGTGACTCTGGTGGCCCAGCAACATATCAGGGAAAATTAGTCGGTGTCGCCGGTTTTGTTGTAGGTGGTTGTGGTACCAAAAATCCAGATGGTTATGCCAAAGTTTTTTACCATCGCCAATGGATCGAGAAAAATATGATTTTATGATTTAAATGTATATTATAAATGCATGTACTCCATATATGTATGTATACATACTTATACATATGTTCATATGTATATGTTTTTAACTTTTTAAAAATAAAGAAAATAATAATAGATAATTCATTAAAAACTCATTCATAGAGTTAACCCAGCAAAAACTCGGTAATGGGTTGTACTTGCATAACCACTTACTTTTCAATGACTAACTACTTTGCGTTTTTATTATTAAAAATAAAACAACTTACTCAACAACGATCTACCAAAACTAGAACCAAAAATTGTAATATCTATCAAATTTGCCATCTTATTAATAACTAGAACAACTTTAAAATAAAATTTCAATAAGGGATTGTTTTTTTTTGCCAATACTGTATGTCTATTCTTGAGTAAAACGCATCTTTGGTTTTAAAAAATCCAACCAACCAAATGTAGGAAATTCAATTCTCTATAGAAATTATAATTACATCAAAACGCGTATGACGCATAAAAAGCAAGACATTCACGACCCCCAATGTCTCTCTTATCGTACACGATATTTTCAGTGACTTTTAATCCCTTTACTAACTATGCTAAGGAGAAACTATGTGCCAATTTCCATTTAGGTATTTTAAATTCCCTAAATTGATAATTTTTTCCTATTTAGAGAATTTTTTTTAAAATTTGGTAAATTTTAAATTTTTTGAAAGAAATATAAAAATTAATAACACACGAATATTAAAAAATTATTTGTAATTATATTTTATTTATTTTTATACCCACCATCAAAAAAGATGGGGGTATATTGATTTTGTCATTCCGTTTGTAACACATCGAAATATAGGTCATAGACCCACAAAAGTATATATATTCTGGGTCCTCATTATATTCTAAGACGATCTAGCCATGTCTGTCCGTCCGTCTGTCTGTCTGTTGAAAGCACGATAGAGTCCGAATGGAAAGAGCTAGAGGGTTGAAATTTCACATAAATATTTCTTATAGGTATCGGTCTACGTTTTCGGATAGCCCCCATACAAGTGGCCCCTCGAAAAGCAGCTTTAACAGCCATAACTTGTTTAAAAATACGAATATAGCGATGAAATTCGACATAAGTAAGTTTCTTGTGATCCACAATCACTATGCAAAATTTTATGAGGATCGGTCCATACTTGACCCTACCCCCCATATAAGGTCCCCTTCAGAAAATGACTCATGACGCTCATTACTGGCTTAAAAATACTAGTATATAGATGAAATTCGACATAAGTAAGTTTCATATGAGTCAAAATCTATCTAAAAAAATTTATGTTGATCGGTCCATGATTGACCCTACCCCCCATATAAGGTCCCCTTCAAAAAATTACTGCAACGCTCATTACTGGCTTAAAAATACGAGTGTAGCGATGAAATTCGACACAAATAAATTTAATACGAACCAAATTCTGTCTACCAAATTTTATGAGGATCGACCCATAATTGACCCTACCTCCCTATATAAGGTCCCCTTCAGAAAATTACTTTAACGCTTATAACTGGCATAAAAATACGAGTATATAGATGAAATTCGACATAAGTTTCATTCGATTCAAACGAGGTTTGATGGTGGGTATATAAGATTCGGCATAGCCGAATATAACACTCTTACTTGTTTTATCATAAATTAGTTTTTAAAAGAGTTTGTTTGTTGTGAAAAATCATAACATAATGTGTCCTTCTTCTGGCGCATTACCAATCTTTGTTTATAAACAAAAACTTAAAATTTTTTTACAAATTGGCGTTCGCGTACTTTTTTGGATATTTTTTTGATTGAGAGTAAATTATCAAGTAGGAAAGAATAGTCGGACATGGCCGACTATATGATACCCTACACCATTTAAAAATTATTTTTCATAAAGAAACTTTTATGTTTAATTTTACCCTAATTCCAATGTATTTAAGCAATTCCATGATGAAAAACAAAATTTCTAAAAGAGGCTTTATATGGGAGTTAGGGTTAAATATGGGCCGATCCTCAACAAATTGGCAGGAGGGATGTATTTTTATATAAAGGTTAGTTATGCTGAATATCATCGATATACTAATGATTATAAGTCGGTTTTCAGACGTTTAAGTTATTTTTTAGAGGAGGTTTGTATGGGGGCTAGGGTCAACGACGGCCGATCATTATAATAATCGGCATGGTCATTTATGCCTATATAAAACTTAGTTGTGCCAATTTGGAGAGATAGTAATATATTTGACGTAGTTATGAGTTAAAAACCCCAAATCGGAAGGTCAGGTTGTATGGGGCTAGGTGAAATAATGGATCAATTGCAACCATTTTCAATACACGTCGTCCTTGTGCCGAAAAACACGTATGGTCTAAATTTTATCAAAATATCTTGAAAATTGTGACCTGTAGCTTGCACACAAGGTTTACATGAACAGCCAGCCGGACAGACGGACGTTATTATTCGACTCAGAAAGTGATTCTGAGTCTATCGGTATACTTTAAGGTGGGTGTAGGACCATTATTTTTGTGCGTTACAAACATCAGCACAAACGTATAATACCCTCCCCAATATAGTGATGTATAATTACTCTCTATCATAAAGTTACGCGAACACACCTATTGTTAGAAATAATTTGAATGATTTATACATAACAAGTAGTCCGACTCTTTAACAGGAGTACCTATCTCTAAGCATGTGTTAGTGAAAAAGTACCTAACTCTAAATATGTGTTAGTAACAAAAATGTATTTGTGTTGGTGCATTCTAAACACAGAGAGTTTTATAAAAAATTACAATTTTAAATTTGTTTAAATTTTCAATACCAAAAATTGAAACTCTGTAAAATAAAATTCAACAACAACAAAAATGAAATGTCAATAATTAAACAAAATTTTTTTTCCAGTTCAAGAAAATTAAACAAAATTCTAAATCAAAAGTGCGTTAAAACTATTGCAGTTTTTTGTGGATAACTGCAATTTCGCGTACGATCCTTGAAAGTGACAAAAAAGTAAGTTTAAAACTTGAGTGTTTTGACAAGTTTAAATTTCTCACAAGAGAGTCGAATTCACACGGCACTCGTAGATGTGAGAGTGTAATTTCCTATATGTGAGAGTCGGACTACTTGTTATAATTTGATTTATACGTTATGTTTAATGTAAATTCTATGTCATATTGTCACCTGAAATGCAAAAAGGCGTAACAACCAAAAATTTGAATTTGATTGAAAATGGTCCACCACATTGAAATACAAATTGTCGCAAATTTTTAGAACTTTATTGTCAAAAACACCAATTTTATTAATGTGAAATTTAAAAGGAAGTAACAACAAATTAGTAATTTTCACAAGTCAAAATGTTCTAAAAAGCATCACAATAGACAATGGCTGAATTGAACATAAAATGTTTTTTGGAAAACTGCATCTCGTATGCTCACTATTTGTTTGAACTTTCATGCCCAGAATGGACAAATGGTCAAAAGTATCTTTCTATAAAAGCCTAAATAAAATCGTTGATTTTACCGCGTCTTCTACTTGTAAACGTATTATTATTATCAAATTTATAAGCTCATGACTTAACCGCAATTTCTAAGACATTTTATAAAATTTGGCACATCTTGTTCCAAGGACGAAGCCTATTGAAAGCGATCCATTATTTCATCTATCCCTAATAATAATTAGTATCTATAAAATGGACATAATTTACACTATGCAACAAATTTAGGGTCATTGAATCTTTCCCGAATGAGACCAACGAGAAATGAAAGTAAACAATCAATATATTAAATTCCCAAAAGGGGTTTAAAAAGTTAGCTCGAATTGTCAATTTATTGCCATTTTAAGCAAAGCTATTTCCAGGAAAATTTTAAAATTTTTTATATTCCTTTTTGATAAATCAAATAAAATATGAAAATTTCTAGTAAAGTATCTACTAATAACAGCTATTAGAATGGAAAGAAAATTAAAGCCCACAAAGTATAAACATTAATAAATTTAAATATCTTAGGTCCTAAGTAGTCAATTATAATTGTGCAATTGCTAGCTAACTTTGTTAAACCCTTTGGGGATTTTAGTTTACTGATGGTCTACTTTCATTTCCTGTTAGTCTCAGTCGGAAAAGATTTTCTTGTTGCCTAGTGTTATAAGAAACAATCTATTTTAATATATAGTGGTGTAAGGTATTAAATGGTTGGCCATACCGACTATACATTATTACTGTTTTTTTCTTGCCGTAAAGCTGTATGGCCACATGTCAAAATTTGTTTATGTGTTAGTAAGTGCTGGTCTACACACGGAAACTTTAGTTGATTTTCTTAATTCTCTTTTAAAGTTTCCTTAATGTCTACATATAGAAACTTTTAATTCAGAAAAAACATGTTAATAGCCAAAGAATAAACAAGAAGAGAAACGCTGTCATTTTTTTACAACAATAACATTACGCTCTTCTCACAGACGAGTGCTGTGTAAATCCAACACATATGTAAAAATTTTATTCTCTCTCCAAACTTCAAAACTTTTTCGCGAAAATTTGAGGATAATAGCCCTTTGAAATATTTTTTATCACTTAACATTATATTTTATAATTTTTTTGCACAATTTAAACACATTTAATAGCCCGAAAAAAATATTTTTTATTTTTTGACATTGAATTTTTGTTGGTTGAAATTAAAACTAAAAAAACAATGTTGTAAATTTTCGTATGGTAAACGAAAAACATATTTCAAATAAATAATTTATTTTTTCAATATTATAGATTAAAAAACAAATAGACGTGTTTATGAAATGTTTGTAGATAAAATATGTGGAAAATATCTTAAGAAACCTTTCAAAGTATAAATTGAAATGTAATATTTTTTTTCAATATTTTTCAATACGATTTTTTGCAACTATGTTGACTTGAGAATTCTACTAATACATTCTTAGAGTTAGGTACCGGATGACAGTAGACTTAGGTACTTTTGACAACAGTCAGGGATGGAAAATGAGATTTTGTTTCAGTATCAAAAAATATTTCTGAGGGTACTTTTTTGGATCTCAGAGTACTAAAATAATTTTTTTGCTGAAAGTTGGTAATTTCTTAAATGCATTTACATA